GTTGAAATTTAATTTGAATTTAAACTAATAAGTATTTTTTTATAAAAAAAACTTCGTAAATTTTTTTATTCTACAAAAAAAAAATCATAAATTTTTAACTTACATTCAATCAAAATGGATGTATTATAATTAAAAGTTCAAATTTAAACTAGTTTTAAATTCAAACTCAATTTTAAACTATAGAGCTACCAAAATACCCCAAAATAACAAATTAAAAGTCTATTTCTGTTAAGAAACCTAACGGAGAAGGCTTTTTTTATGTTAACATTTCATTGTTCAAGGGGGAGGAAAGTTGCGTTTTAAAGATTGAAAGACAAAATGTTACAAGGGGTATAGTTCAAAGAGAATTCTTGTAATTAATCTTAAAATTTAATGTAAAAATGCGTTTCTTAAATGATCTACTGACCAAAGCTAAAAAATAGTATATTGAGGAGCGAAAGATATGGACATATATATGCGTTAAGAGAACTTTTATGGTACAAAAGGTTATTTTCTTCTACAAGTAGGAATTGCTGTTTTATACAATTGGATTAATTTTTTAACATTTAAATCTGTACATATTCGTCTAAAAAATTGATTGTACATGAGACAAAATTACTCCTATTAGAGATTAAACCATTAAAATTTAGTTAAAATACAGTTTCTACCGGTAGAACAAAATAGCTTTCTCCATCGTAAAAAATAATTAAAAAAAAAACTACAACTAAAAATGTAGTTTTAAGAGGAAGAATGTCATTAAAGACAGAACAAGCATCTTCTTAGGAAGATGCACTATTTCACTTTGGAAAATACAATGTGATGTTACCAAAGAACGTGCCAAATGGGATGAAGCAATAAAGGAAGCTCGTTGAAGACAAGAAAAGAAGGAAAATGCAAGGCTGCTTTGATCCAGGAACCATTCATTTGTGAGATAGCCATCAAGTAAATTTAAACATTATACTTAAAGACAATATTAATAATATTGCAAATTATAGGGTATTACAGGAAAAAAAAATCTGCTTCTCTTTATATTCTTGCTAGTTATGCTTATTTACAAACTTGTGATTGGGTGCTATTAGGTTTCCATTGCTCACCTGATTGATCAGGCTGAGAAAAAAATGGCAGAGACATTCTTGAGACATGTCATTGAAAAGCTGGTTGATCAACTAAACTTTGAGTATGGGCGACATTTTACTCTCTAAATTTTTATTTTTGACATAGTGGTCCTTCAACATTCACTTTCTGATGTTTTGGACCTTTGGTCCCTGACTGTAAAATTAACAAATGATTTTTAAAATTTAACAAAGATAGTCACATGTCCATTCTATGATAATTTAAAGGACGTTTTTAGAATCCGTTCCAAAATGATTTTATTTTTTGTATAAAAATAGAAATGAAAACGTTTTCAATCTTAGGCAAGAATCATTTCTGAAAATGCATTTGATAGTTTTATTCAGAGATTGTTTTCAATATAAGAAAAAACTGAAACTCCGTTTAGTTTTACATTTTTTAAAACATGTAATAGTATTTTAAATAATATATTAGATAACTAATAAACTCCCCATTCAATACGTTAATAATTAATATATATATATATATATATATATATGCTATATGTAAAGAAAATAGCCTACCAAGTTAAGAGGAATGAGACGAGAGAAAATGAAAATGTGAAAAGAAAAACGACTTGTAATGGTTTTACTTTTTAGGAAAAAGATAAAGGTTGTGTTTGGAGTTGTTTTTGTTTTTATTTTTCACGTGTTTTGAGAAAAAAATGAAAATATGAGAGAAACGGAGTTTGACACAATTAAAGATAAAAAATGAAAATGAAAATGATTTTTTAGTTTAGTGTAAAATGGGAGAGAAATGAAAAACGACTTTTAGTCGTTTTTCATTTTTTATTTTCGTTTTCTCCTCTCTCGAGCACAGAGAGAGAGAGAGAGAGAGAGACATTACTAGATTTTTTTATACTGAAAATAATCTTTTAATAAAACTACCAAACACATTTTCAAAAATGATTTCTTTCTGAAATTGAAAACCTTTTCATTTCCATTTTCATACAAAAAAATAAAATCATTTTGGAACAAGTTCTGAACCCACCCAAAAACATTTTCATTTTTGTTTTCTGTACGATGCTGCCCCAAATGCAATCTTCAATCCATTTTTATTTTTTACTCCTTGAAAAACGTGAAAAATATTTTCAAGAAAAGTTCCAAACGCGCTGAAAATTTTACAAAAATAGTTGTGCTTTATGTAAAATTTCTCTTTTGTTACTATTAGGATTAATATCACAAATACTCCTAAAGTCTACTCTCAGTCCCACCTTTGTCCATGACTCTTAAAACGTATCGTAGTTAGTCCCTTGAGGTCTTAGTTTGTTTTAATTTCGGTTCTTCTATTAACTCAATATTAAATATTTGAGGGAATGTGTAAATTAGGGATCAAAATTAGAAACATCTAAAATTTAGGGACATCTATGAAAAATAATTTTTATTTTTTGTATTATTTTAGTCTCAAAACTTTACACGTTTCCACTTTTGATCAACTATTTTATAGATTCCTTCAAATATTTAACACCAAATTAACATAATGACTAAATTTAAAATAAAATAAAATCTTAAGGGACCAACTATGAGACGTTTTAAAAGTTAAAGATTAAAGTGAGATTGAGGGTAAATTATAAGGTTCGTCCACGTGATTAACCTTTACTATTAAAACCTGTTGAAAATATGTAAGATTTTCAATTATTATGCTATAAGAATTAATAACATGTCCAAATTAAAAGTTGAGGAACTAAAATGTCGCCAATAATTCTTTTATTTTCTAAATTCCCGGAAGTAACGTTGCTTCCTATCCTCAACTGGCCACTCATTCTGAGCTCTAGTGGCCATGCCCTGAAAGGCGGCATACATGGCATCTAAGAAGTCTTGGTTCTGTTGTGCCGGTTGGTTAACAGATCTCCGACGCGGCAACATCTATTCAACTGAAATAAAACTAGACTGTTCAGTGGATTACAGATGTCACACATGTATGTAAAATTCTAGGGTTTCTTAACCTAGGGCTCTGATACCACTATGTCGCGTCCCCAAAATAGGGTTCGGTGACGTGGAGCTCGATTAGGGGTTAAGCGCGCAGTAACAAAGAAATTCCCTAGCGAGCCCCACACTTGAGCTTGATTAAAATATACATTTCTAGGACCTGAGCCTCTGACAACACACAAGGCTCCACCCACAGGACATACAATATTGTACATACATGAACATGTAAATAATCAATTACAGACATCAACCACAGTCTATTATATATAAGTTTACATAAGTTACACTTCCTTACATTTATTCCAAGAGGATGAACACAATCCTCACTTGTTCGATCAGTAGCAAATATCCAGCTACTCCGCACCGCTCCTTGAATCTCTTGTGAGGGGTTTAATATTTATAAAAACAGTAAAACGTGAGTGAAAGGCCCAGTAGGATATAATTTGAAAAAGTTTTATAAATAAATGAATAAATAAATGAGCGAGTAAATAAAATTAGACATTCAGTTCCAACACAACAGCCGGAACCTCACATCCTTTTTCTCAAAGGAAATATAGATAAAAATCTCCATATTACAGGCATCAGCAAGTAATTGATACAAATTACTTACACAACCCGGTGCCTAGCCTACCTGGAGCGAGCTTCGGGTTCTGCCCCTGAGGATGCACTCTTCACATCCTATCTAAGCCATCAGCCATATTTTTACCGGTTCACAAGACCTCTTCTCTTAAGAAATCATTCATTTAAACTTTATGAAATCGTTAATATGACCCCACGAACTACACAAGTCGTGGGCCCCATGAACTGAACAAGCCACGGGGTTCCATGAACTAAAAAAGCCATGAATTCCATGGACAGGACAAGCCATGGATTCCATGAACTAAAACAAGCCATGGTTTTCAAATTGTTTTTCTTTCGCAAACAAGCCTCTTTCTTTAAAACATTTACAAGGCCAAAATCCTTTTCAAATGAGGCTCACAAGGAAAATGGAGAAGAAATCTTACCTCGCAATATCAAACCTGTGTCTAGCGTGGCTCTATTCTGACTTTCGCTTCTTCCAAGCCTTTCAATCCAAGCCCTCAATTAGCAATCACACAAAACAACACTTTAGGATTAAACTCTCATTTCTAAAGCAATCCAATCTCAATTACAAACCAAGATTTCCTATTAGTGTGCCCTAATCTAATTTCATGTTTCAATAATTAATTCCAAGGGTTTTCAATCTCAAAACATGGATTAAAGATGCTAATCCATCTAACTCAAGTCCTCAAAAGAAGCTAATTTGGGTTCTCCTCGAAAACAGGGGTCAAAACAGCATTTTCAGGCAAAACAGGGTCAAATCCCGTGTACACCGGTCGACTGGTGACAGAGCATTGCAACACTATTGGTCGACCGGTAGTGTGCACTCTGGTCGACTGCACAGGTCGACCTGTTGCCATGCGATCTGGTCGACCGGTGAGATCAGCAGGGCGATGAAACTCGCCAAAATCAGTCAAAAAACCTGTAAATCCAGTCCTAAATCAAAATATCTCAAGGGAAAAAACCTGAATCCGGATTCTAGGTACTAAATTAAGTCCAAAAAACTCAAGATTTTCAAGTTCTACCATGATTTTACACAAAAATTCATGAAAATCCGGTTTGTCATAGCTGAGCTCTTTCCTAGAAAGTAGAGCAATTTTTCTTTTTGGAAGCAGAGCATGTTTTCTTATCCCTTTCTTTTCTTATCCTGGCGGGCCCTCTTGACGCGCTTCTTCCAAGGCACTAGTGTTTTCCAGCTGGTGAGCTTTTAATCTAACAAGTTGCTATTATTTTAATAATTTAACTATATCATCAAGGAAGAAAATAATTATATTGCGTCCTTGCCTAAGTTGCCATCGTCTATCACGAAAGAGCTCGCCGAAATCGTCCTCCATCTAGTTGTATGTTGTTCAAAAACTTTCAAAATTTTTTTTTTCCATAAATTTTCTTTCAGGTTCTAAACTAGGTGAAAGTTTTTTATTCTTTTTCACCTTTATTTCTTTTTTCGTCCTTCAAAATCTTTTTCCCCCTAAAATCCCACTTCCAAACAGGGCCTTAAGGTAATGAGTTTTTCCTTTCATTTTTCATGTTCCAAATGGTTGAAATATGTCTGTGATGCCCTGTGATGTTGATTGGCTTTGAATATTGTCATGGATATGATTGAAATTGCCTACAAATGTTTTAGATTAACTAGAAACATAGTTGTTTGCTAAACAAGGCTTGTTAGAGAGAGTGAATAGAATGGAAAACCTCAAACTTTTATAACACCATATATACAAGTGCATGATATTGAGAGAATGGGGACAAATATTTACAATTAAAGCAACTCGTTGACAGTGAAATTTTGCTAACAGGATTACGTCGAGTCACCCATTGGTATCCTGTTGGGTTACAGACGTTAATATTTGTTTGATACTGGAAATAATGCTTATGAAGTGTGTATAAACCTTGTGATGAATGAAATGTGAGAACCGTGCTTAAATGAAGGTAAAGACACGAAATTTATAGTAGTTCACTCTATTAATGAAGAGCTACATCCACTTTATTTTATATTTCTTTTGGGCTCTTTATAATTTACATAAAGAAAAGCTCTCTCCATTCCATTCGAGGCTTTACCACCTTTTATAGCCTAACTTTACTTCAGGAGGGGTTTTTTTTTGTAGACTTACCCACTCGAGTGGCATACTCCCTCATAGGCTCATACCGTAGCCTGCTAATTCCTTTTGTACTGTAGATTTACCCACTCGAGTGACAAATATTTACAATTAAAGCAACTACTCCTACAGCTAAGCAAATGATTATACATAAAAGTCCTGTAGTAAAGTTTATGTAGCTAATATACAATTAGCACCCAATTGAGTTGACTTTCCTTGAATAGCATATTTGGTGGTTTGCTTATTAGTCATTTATCGGCAGCCATGAATCAAGTGGTATTTTTGATAGATAAGAAAAATCCCTCACAAAAGAGAAAAAAAAAAAAAAAAGGAAAAGTATTTCCCTTTTTAAAATGCTCTCTCTCAAGCTTTTAATCTAACAAGTTGCTATTATTTTAGTAATTAACTATATCATCAAGGAAGAAAATAATTATATTGCTTTTTTATTATTAGATAAAAAAACTATACGATATTTTTAAAGTCGAAGAAGAAATTACTTGGCTTGTTTCAATGACTTGAATAATGTAGCATTTTCCTCATCATTCAGGTGACAGCTAGAAGAAGCCCATTGAGGAGAGGAAAAAGAAGGAAAATGCTCACTTCCATTATGCTAGGGCACTTTTCCAGGTACCACTACTCATTTGGTAAATTAACACGAGAAACATTAAAGATAGAATCAATAATATTGCAAATTATTGGCTATTTCAAATAACCTTTTTTGTTTCTTTTGAAATTCTTGCTTTGTTAGTTATGCTTATTTACAAAATGTGGTTGGACGTTGTCAGGTCGTCATTGCTCTCCTCATTGATCAGAAGCTGAGAAAGAAATGGCAGAGACGTTCATGAATCCTCTCATTGAAAAGTTGGTTGGCCTACTTGCTGAAGAAATATATTTGGTAAGAGGAGTCCGCAAAGAAGTCAAAAGTCTGAAAGATGAATTGGAGATCATCCAACCTTTCCTTAGAGATGCAGAGGCGAAATCGGAGAAGGGAGAAGTGAACGATGCTGCGAAAGTATGGTTGAAGCAAATAAGAAAGCAAGCATATCGCATTAAAGATGTGGTCGATGAGTACCTTTATCATGTTGAACAACATCGCCATGATGGTGGGTTTATCGGCTCTTTACGCAAAGGTGGTCACTACATCAAAACTTTGAAACTGCGCTGTGACATAGCTTCAGATATCAAAGAAATTAAAGAGTCATTGCGTGAAATCAAGGACAGAGGTGTCAGCTATGGTTTAAGACCTCTGGAACAAGGATCAAGTAGCAGCACAACTAATAATGAAGCACGCGACCCTCGCCTCGGATCCCTTTTCCTGGAGGAAGATGAAATTGTTTGTATTGATGGAGCATCCAAGGAACTAATAAGAAGGTTAACTGAAGGACCATCCACGCGCACACTGACTTCGTTGGTAGGTCAAGGTGGAATTGGCAAGACAACTCTGGCTAGGAAGGTCTACAACGATGAAGTTGTGAAAGCTCACTTTGATTGTTGTTCATGGATCACGGTATCTCAGTCATACGATATGCAGAAGCTTTTGAGGATCCTAGCAAGGCAGATATGCACTGCAGGGGAGCGAATTGAGGAAGATTGTTCAGAGGAAGAGTTAATTTGTCTATTGAGGCAGCATCTGCAAACAAAGAGGTACATGATTGTTTTTGATGATGTATGGCAGAAAGATTTTTGGAAAGATATGAAACATGCTGTGCCAAATAAAGATAAAGGCAGTAGGATAATTATCACAACACGTAATTTCACCGTGGCTAGTTTTTGTTGTGAAAACCCTCGTGATCTTGTCCATGAGGTACAAACTTGGTCCTCAGAAATGGCTTGGCAATTATTTTGCAAGAAGGCATTTCGAAGTGATGAGTTTGCAGGGCGTTGTCCCCAAGAGTTGGAGCAATTGTCTCGTGAGATTGTTAGCAAATGCCTAGGCTTGCCACTTGTCATTTCGACCATAGCTGGTCTTTTGTCAACCAAAGAAAGAGTCGATTCTGAATGGAGAAAAGTGCTTAACAATATTAGTTCAGAGTATGAAAGAACTGATATTACGAAAATTCTCTCCCTAAGTTATCTAGATCTACCTTACCACCTTAAGACTTGCTTCTTATATTTTAGCATCTTTGGTGAAGACCATAAGATTTCTGAAAGTACATTGTATAAACTATGGTCTGCTGAAGGTTTTGTTAAAGCAAGAAGAAACAAAACAATGGAAGACGTAGCCGAAGAATACTTAAATGAGCTCATCCAAAGAAACTTGGTTTTGTTTGAAATAGAATTTGGTGTTGAAAGAGTATGTAAAGTCCATGATCTGATGCACGATATCATCTTAACTAGAGCAGGTGAATTGTGCTTTTCACAAACTATGAATAAAAGTAACCTCAATCTTGAAGAAAACAGTTACCGCCTCTCAATTCATGATACTACAGAAAATGTCTTGGAAAGAGTTATGGATTCCAGCATTCGGTCTATTTTTCTGTTTGACGTCAAGGAATGTACAAGGTCGTTCATGATTAATTTAGTTGAAAGTTTTAAACTTTTGGAAGTGTTAGATTTTGATAAGGTGCCTCTTGATGATCTCCCAAAAGAAGTGGGGAAGTTGTTCCACTTGAAATACTTGTGTTTATCAGGTACAAGGGTGAAAGTTCTTCCCAAATCTATTGGTAAGCTGCACAATCTACAGACATTGGATGCTAGGAACACCTTAGTGACGGCGCTACCGATCGAGATTACTAAACTAAGGAATTTGCGACACCTTCGCATTTATTCAATTGCTAAGAATAGCCATTCAGGTTTGAATACATATTGCGGTGTGAGGATACATGAAGGAATTGGAATGTTGGAGGAGTTGCAAACACTAGAGAAGGTGGAAGCATATCCTGATGGAGTTGGTTTTGTCAAAGAGCTGCAGAAGCTTAGGAAATTAAAACGTTTGGATATTTTAAAGGTGACAGCAGAAATGTGAACCACCTTGAGAGGTTAATTTTGACTTCAATCAACGAGGATGACGTTATAAATTTAAAATGCATTTCATCGCCTCCTCCTTTTTTGCGTTATCTCCAATTGAATTGTCGTCTAGAACAATTGCCAAATTGGGTTTCGGAACTTCATAATCTACAAGGATTGTCATTAAGTTACTCAAGGTTTATCGACGATCCAATGAAATGCCTCCAAGCGTTGCCCAATTTATCATACCTTCGCATGACATATGATGGAGAGGAATTGCATTTCCAGAAAGGTGGTTTTCAAAAACTCAAGCAACTTAAGTTTAACAAGTTGACAGGATTAAAGGTGGTTAAAATAGACGTAGGAGCACTGCCTCTTCTTGAAGAGTTTCACTTTGGGCGTTGTGCACTAATGAAGGAGATGCCTTCCGATATTCAACACCTTTCAAACCTCAAATCTTT